CTATAGCAAAAACTTCTCTTAAAAAAAAGGAAGAAAGAAAAGAAAAGAAATTTAACTAGGTTTCAAACAAGTTAACATTTTGGTAGCTTTCTTCTTTAGATAAGTATCCATCCCAGATTTCAATGTTTGTTTGAAAAAAAAAGACTTCATCCATTTTGATTTTCTTTAAGACTTTCTATATACAGAACTCTCAAATGAATTAGTCTATAAAAATATTAAACCACAGCAATAAAGATTCCTAAAAAATTATGAATATTTGTAGTGATATTATTCTTACATATAATGTGTTACATTGGGATGTCCTCTTCACTTAATACACATATAGCCACAAGTATGTGTAAAATTTCCTCAGAAAATATCAGAGTTTAGCATAAAGCTTATTTATACTAAGTTTATAAAATAAACCTATCTTTAATTAGTTTGGAGCTGACTCTTTAGCATTAAATACCAGAGTCCCTTTTACTGAAACTCTCACCTGTAACTCAGTTTTATACTGTTGACCTTATTTTACAAGATGAGTATAAGACTGGATATCTACAGTGAATTCCTGGGAAACAATTGATTATGAAAGTACCATGAGGTGATTTAAATGTGTTTAAGAAACGAATTCTAGGTGTTCATCTGCTCACTAGTGTGCATTGCGGTTGGGTAAACAAATAAATGAATGAGAATATTAACATGATCTTTCATGTATTCTCTCATACTGTGGCAAGATGATTCTCAGTGTCTCAGGCAAATAATTGAACAAAACACACAAATACTGTAAGGAAAAGGTAGTTTATTAAGTAAAAGTGAAAGTATACTGCTGAAAGGTAGGAGCGAGCCTGAGTGGACAGACAAAGAGAGGCTCAAAAAGGCCCTCACCATGGCATTCTGTGAGATTTATCATTTTTACATCTAAGTCATATTGGTTGATCATTGGCTGGGCCCGCTGACTGTTCTCCTCTCATTGGGTCTATCAAATGTGGCTGGGCTCACTGATTTCTCATTGGCTATTTCATATATGGTTGGGCCCACTGATTTAATCTTATTGACTATATTAAGTATGGCTTCATTGCCTAGACATTCCCCACTAATCTCCTGCTTATATTACCTTGGGCAGGGAATTTTCTGCCCTGATCAGTTTTTCTATCTAGCCACATGGAAAATTGCTCCAGCCTCCTTACTGACTTCTATTTACTAGCTTTCTCCTGCCTCACTACAAAAAAATTCCAAGCTATTCCAGGTCAGTGATGCCATAAAATTGGACTTGGAGGTAGTAGGTAGGATGGGAGAGGATTTTAGTTTAAATACAGGCTAGACCACTGACTCACTCTGAGTTTAGGCAAATCACTTCATTTTTGAAGGAGATAGCATGGTGCTGAGTGTACTGGGTGATTTCAGCTTTCTTTGGTCTCAGATGTCCTCTGCTTTAAGTAAGCTCTTCTTCTTTTTCTTTTTCTTTTTTTTTTTAACTGTTTTTTGCCATAGGGCATGTGCACTCACCAGAGAGAGAGATAGAGAGAGATAGTAAAAAGAAAAGTGAGAAATCACCTCCCCGGATGACCAGCTATAATCCCTTCTCCTCCATTCTCCTCCTAGAATCTTGGGTATGCATGCACATGGTCCTGGCATGATTTCCAGCCCACTGGGTCCAGACTCAAACCATGATCAGCCATGTGGAAGTCCAGTCCCTTAACCACTATGCCAAGTACTAGTCCCTTAAGTAAACTATTTTATTTCAATTTTTTTTCCCCAAAAGGTATATACCACAGCAGACAGAGAGAAAGAGGACCCCACCCCATGGGGTGTCGTTATGCTGTAACCCTTTTTCCTCCATTTCTCTATCCTGGCAGGATTTTGGCCATGCACGCAGATGCACATATCATAATTTTTGAGCCATTGGGGTTGGAACTCAGACCTCAGCCAGGTGAGATCTGGCTCTCTTTGCCTAGGGCTTATCCAGAGTGCTAGAGGGCTGTCCCCAACCTCTTCTATTTCCTGTTGACAATGACCTTAGTGACCTGATACCTTGGGCTGTGCCCGCAGCAAGTCTTAAGAAATGTTCTTTCTTTCTTTGTCTCCTCCCTCAACAAAATAACAGCCACTCCCACTCTAGTTGCTTTTATTAATGTGAAAAGAATTTACCAGAAAATGACTTGTAGTTTAAACCATATTAGTAGAATTAATTGTAACTACAAATGAAAGACACACACATACACAATCCAGCACTTTGTATCTTAAAACCCAGTTTTTACCTAAAATACTTAGATCCAATAAATTAAGTCTGATTTATTATGCTGTGTGTTTTTTAAAAATCCATCTCTATTACTACACTCCCTTCTCCCTTTTCTTTTACTTACATGTATTTTTATTTTTGCCATAGGACACGTTCTCACCAGAGGGGTGGAGGGGAGAGAGAGAGCGAAAGTAAGAAAATACCCCCGGGAGAATAATCACACCACAATCCCTTCTCCTCCACTCTTATCTCAGCATTTTGGGCATACACTTACACTCAGCATGATATTTGAGCTACCAGGTCCAGGACTGGAACCACACAGTCAGCCATGTGAGATTCACCCCTCCTTAATCACCAAGCCATCAGCTGGCCTGGCCCTCCCACTTCCTTCCCATCGCCCCTTTCTGTCTCTGTCTCTTTTCTCTGATTATCTGGAAAGTGTGTACTAATTGTCCTTTTTCTAACCAGTATCTAAAAGTCCAGTTTTTCTAAATCGCTGGTGGTGAGAGGTCCAGCAGTCCCTCCAGAATGAGTGGCTGGCCTGTGTAGTACTCTGAGCAGCTCTTGGGTATTCCACCTACTAGGGCTCCTGGCTTCTGTGGGACTGGCTTCATCTCTCTCTCCTAACTCTGCTCTTCCAGTTCCTCTTGCTCCCTGCCCAACTCTTCCCCTAGCTCCCTCACTTGTTCAATCTTCATACTGAAATCTAGTCTAAGCCTCTCTAAGTAATCATTTGAACGTGTTTGCTGTGTATAAAAGCTTACATTCTGATCATTCAAAAAGTCAAAATACTGTATTCTGAGAAACAGAGAGAAGGAGGGAAGTGGTGAGGAAGGAAGGATTGCGAGGCGCTCTTCTTTACCCATGTGGTCTCTTTCCTTAACCCAGATGCTCAGCTTCCTTCTTTTTTGTCCTTCCCAGTCTTTTAAAAAATCTCATTCTTTTTACTTTGTGGTCTTAAAGGGAAAACAGGGCTCTAAAAATGTATCTTTCTAGAGTCACTAGAAGGCCTTTTTTGCATATCTGTAAATCTGATATAATCAGCTTGTCTTTTTCACAAGGAATAGTATTTATATTAAAGAACCACTTGGCATTAATGCCCAAGTGCAGGTGTCCTATCATATAAGATGTCGCCTCATTCAGAAAACTCAAGATGGAGTAAAACAAATTAACAACATGCTGGCTCCATGCTCCATTCACAACTGTTAATTTTACAGGGTTATGACTCCAGCTCTGAGCAGAGAGCTCCTGGCAGGGACAGCTGCTCCCGTGCCCCAGATTGTGCTGTGCTTGTCCCAGTAGGAGTCATTGAGAGCAGCAGGATAGCGGGACATGGTAGAGCATCTGGAACCGAGCGGTGTTGCAGCATCACCCAGGGAGCCGGGAGCAGGCAGCAGGACCAGCCTCTCCAAAGTGCTGTCACTGGTGCCTTCATTCTTAGTATAGACACATGCTAAGAACTCAGAGCTGAGGAAGAAATCTCTGTCTTGAATTGTACTGAAAAAAATTGTTACTCCTGCATTTACTCTCACATGTAGATTGTTTTAAAAAATATCTGTGTGAATCCACCAGCATGTTGATGGACCTAAGCAGAGACAGGCCTATATGCTTGTCCAAGAATGTCAAACAGGTTTACATCATGATGAGCCGGATCTGGGTCACTGGGGCAAAGCTCATCTGATAGGTGGAAAACATCCCATGTGCTGGCCTGCCCTGGCTTACCTCTGAAAGTGGAGCACAGGCTGAGGCTGAGTCCGACCAGGACTGGGGCCAAGCACGTGGCTTGGTACATGATAAACACTGTCTTATTAATGGTCTCTTGAAGGAATGTCACTGCATTGTTCACTGTGGTACTTAGAGCAGTGTTCACAAAATCAAGTGCTCAGAAATAAAGACAGGAGTGAGAGGGGTCTCTAAGTAGCCACACTGAGACAGTGATAAGAAAGGGAACTTTGCAAAATAGGTTTTAATGGAAGAGTAAACATTTTGTGTTCTAGTTTCTTGTCCTCAGTCCTAAAATGGCCTTATTTATGATAATATAAAACTAATCTTAGATATAAATTACTCTGATTAAGAGTGTGATTTAATCAATAGATGCCATTTTTGTCCAAAGGGGACAGTCTCTCAGATTCTTTCTTTCTTTCTTTCTTTCTTTCTTTCTTTCTTTCTTTCTTTCTTTCTTTCTTTCTTTCTTTCTTTCTTTCTTTCTTTTCTAGAGGTTTTTGCCTTAGGGTGCATGTGCTCCCCAGAGACAGGCAGAGATAATGAGAGGGAAAGTGAGAAATCACCCCAGAAGGGCATGGCCACACTACAATCTCTTCTCCTCCATTCTCCTCCAGGGATCTTGGGCATACATGCAAACATGCCCGGTGTGATTTTTAGGTCACCATGTCCAGGACTTGAACCACGGTCAGTCATGTGGTAGTCCAGTTATGTAACTGCTACACCATCTACTGGTCCCCCAATCCTTTTTTTTTTTAATTCAAGAATAATGACCATTTTCTGTGTTCAAAATTTGAAGATCTGGTATGTTTATTACTAATGTTGGATCACATGGAGGAGAAAGTCTGTGCTGGCCGTCATTTTGTGACCAGCCTTCTGAGTTGTCACATTCTGAACAAATTCCTCAAAGCCCTGAAACTCATTTACATTTTTTGCATAAAACCCTAATAAAGTTTCTGATCTAAAACTTTACTATAACCTTTTTTGTTGTTGAAGATATTATTTTGATCAGGCTCCACATTCAAATAATTATTTAGAGAGGCTTAGACTAGACTTCAGTATGAAGACTGAACAAGAAGGAAGCTAGAGAAGGAGTTGGGCAGGGAGGGAGAGGAGCTGGAAGAACAGAGTTAGAGAGCAGTGAAGCCAGTCCCACAGAAGCCAGGAGCCGTAGTAGGTGGGTATACCCAAGAGTTGCTCAGAGTACTGCACAGGCCTAGTTTTTTAAAAAGACATGCAGGGACCAGCAGTTAGCGTAATGGCTATGTCGCTGGACTCCCATATAGTCAACCGTGGCTCAAGTCCTGGACCTGGTGGCTTAAACTTACGCCAGGCATGTGTGTGTGCATGCCCAAGATCCTGAGAGGAGAATGGAGGAGAAGGGATTGAAGCGTGGCCATCCCCTCTGGGGGGTGATTTCTCGCTTTCTGTCTCTCTGTCTCTCTCTGTCTTTCTGGTGAGCGCACGCGCCCTATAGCAAAAACCTCTCTAAAAAAATAAAAAGACTTATGCAGAGTCCTTCTCAGAAACCCTGAAAACCTGAGCCCTTGTGATTAAAACCTAGGGCGAACTGGTTTGAATTGTCAAAGTGGATCTGAAGAAGCCTGGTTTAAGTTTGGCAGTAGAGCAACCTTGGGTTAGGGAAAGGAAATGTAAATAAAATAAGGCCAGTGATTCTGGAAGGTCAAAAGGACATTCGTTTTGCCATAAAATATTGTGGGAGAGCGGAGAGGGCCTGATTTGATTTGCTGGGGTATTGATTCCTTAACTATAGGTACAGAGCCTGGCACAGAATAAATCACTCAAAAAAAAAATACCTGTTGAATGCTGTGATTTGAATGAAAAGAACATCACTCAAGTTCTCTTCTCCTTTTCTTCATAAAGGTTGAAAAAAATGATGAAGACCAAAAGATCGAACAAGATGGTATCAAACCGGAAGATAAAGCTCACAAGGCTGCCACCAAAATTCAGGCTAGCTTCCGTGGACACATAACAAGGAAAAAGCTCAAAGGAGAGAAGAAGGGAGATGCCCCAGCTGCCGAGGCTGAAGCGGATGAGAAAAAGGATGAAGCCCCTGCTGCCGATGGGGTGGAGAAGAAAGAGGGCGACGGCCCCACCACTACTGAAGCAGCCGCTGCTGGCCCAAAGCCTGATGAGGGCAAAGCTGGAGAAACTCCTTCCGAGGAGAAGAAGGGGGAGGGCGCCCCTGACGCTGCCGCAGAGCAGGCAGCCCCCCAGGCTCCTGCCCCCTCAGAGGAGAAGGCCGGCTCTGCTGAGACAGAAAGTGCCACTAAAGCTTCCACTGATAATTCGCCGTCCTCCAAGGCTGAAGACGGCCCAGCCAAGGAGGAGCCTAAACCAGCCGATGTGCCTGCTGCTGTCCCTGCTGCTGCTGCCACCACCCCTGCTGCAGAGGATGCTGCTGCCAAGGCAACCGCCCAGCCTCCAACGGAGACTGCGGAGAGCAGCCAAGCCGAAGAGAAGATAGGTGAGCAGCCACGTGAGGGCCACATGCAATGGGTGGATGGCGTAGGGGGCACTATGCAGGAGGCCAGGTTACCTGGCAAAAAAGACGACGATATAAATGATGTCTAGCAGGTGTTTTATGGAAATCAAGGGAAACTGTGCTTAATTCCCCAAAGTGGCAGGACTAAAAAGCAAAGATAGTTATTCTCCCAAATATCTCCAAACCTGAGAGAGAAGTCAAGCTGGTCCAGCTGGTCTGTGTAGCAGCCAGTACTAGAAAGAGCTGGCAATTATCTTAATTGGATTGATAGAAGCAGTCAAACTAGATAATCCTGGTTTAAACAAAATATTCTGTATGCTGATAGACTTAGTTTAATAAGTAATTACTGAGACTACATATATTTTATGGATGGGAATTAGCTAATGTGATTATTTGGCTCTAGGAAGTGCCTGTTATAAATATAGCCAACTCCTTATTGATCCAGATTATCTAGTGTGTGAATTGCTGGCAGCAAAACCAGAATTTCAGATCACCTTTCCCTATCCACAATAGTTTCTGAAAATCTTCTCTTCACCATTGATTGGGTGACTAGTGTGTGTATGTGTGTGTACGCTCAGGGAATGTTAATTGTAACATTAATTGGGGTCAAACATAATTAGGAAAGTCGATGTTGATGTTGCCAAAAACAAAACGAAACAGAAACCCTGAATATAGAACATGTTGTAAAGTCAAACATAAATTATCATTTTACTACCGAAGACACAACTTTCTACTATATGCATAAGCTGAGGGTTGACTATGATTTGAAAAGGGTACTGGGTTCTCTTTGATTTGAAGTAATAACTTGGAAGTTGGAGTATTTTCACCATTACTGCCCAAAAAATCCATACAGAATTCAAACAGAACATTCCCAGAGAAAGATAAATTTAACAAACCTTCACTCCTGGAAACTAGATTCACCCCTCACCACATCCTTAGTGGTAAATGAAGTTATTCTAGTCCTGTCTGTTACTAATAGCAGAAATATCTGATTCTGGGTAGTTTACAAAAAATAGCAGTTTATTCTGTTCATGGGTTAATATCCAAGGTTGAGTTCTGCATCTGGTAAGGGTTTTCTGGCTGCATTGGCACCGGGTGCTTGGCTCTGTGTCCATATGTCTCTGCTCTAGTTTTACTCCCTCTCACTTGTCCTCCTCCCCATGAGGTCCCTACTCTATGCCCAAATCCTTCTATCCTCCCACAGGTTGTGCCTTTCAACTGCATAGTTGGATTAAGGTCTCATCCTCTTAATTCCATCCAAACCGAACCTCAAATGCTAGTTACAGGGTGAGATATTCAGACCATAGCAGAAGTCAACAGTGTCCAAGGTCTTTCTCTTGTCTAATATGACCTATGAAACCACCCAACCTCAAAGATCCTCAAAGATAAAGTTGCTTCTGTGCCAGTTTAAAAGGTTAGCTGTACTACTTTAGGACTACCTGTATGGTATGTCTAGGGGTCCAAGCGTGGACTGGACCACAGTGTGCCCCTTGAGAGAGGAGCTACTCTGTGAGAACGATCTGGGAAATATTTTGATGTCTGACCACCAGATAGAATAAATAATCATAGGACATTTGACTTGATATCCATTTCTCCAAATTAGATACTACAAAATAGCAGATGACTTGTCTAGGTATTTTTAGGTTTTCTTCTTTCATCTTACCCCCAAGCATTGTGTAAGATGCCAGATTGTATTAATTATCATTGTTATTAGCATCCTATAGCTCCAGATAAATCACATGCTTCTTTCTACCAGTGATTCATTTTAAATCCTTACTACATACCCACCCCAGGGTCCAGACCTTGAGGTTAAGAAGATGAGAATTTTTCCCTGGCAAAGGTAAGGTATGCATTAAAGAATATGGAGTGTAGATCTTAATTTACTCAGTAAAGTATTTGAAGTAATAGAAACAAGGATTTTTGAATCAATGAAAAGTCTGATATATTTTTAAAGAAATGTATTTTTGTTGTTTTTCAAGTTATAATAATTTAAAATCATAAAATACTTTATGTAGTAAGTTCTCAATAAATGTCAAATATTGAATGAAAATGGACTAAATTTTATTTATATCTAATCATTTGCTTCCTCTTGCAACTTCGCTTACAATGCTCATTTGATTAAAAATGTATCTGATTAGTGAAAATGAATAGTGAGCTTGCTATATCCTACATTTTACAAATTCTAACTGAAAAACATCTTTATCAGATTTTATTATGTGCATTGAAAGGTGATTGAAAGCATAGGTGAAGTTCAAGGTAAAGGTATCACAAAAGACAATTTATTGTACATTGTTTTGAGCTTTGGATAGGCATTGTCCTCTTGGTTAGATCCTGATGCTGTCTGTAGTTTCTTTTTGGACTGAGGTATCTATTAGCCTTGCTTGATATATGTGACAAGCACAAATTACCCAGCTATGATGGATCTCATGGAATCACAGAAACTATAGGTGACAAAGAGATCTATTACATCTTATCAGACTCCAATTCCCGGGGGTCCTGTATCACATTTCCTCTATCTCCCATTGTATTTCATTCCAATCTGGGTTAAAGCAGCAATATTTTCAATTGGGTTGTACCATTGGGAAATGGATTCTTTGAGGAGGGTTAAAATAGTTGTGGCTTTCTAGAGGGACATAGAGAGACAGTCTAAGAGGGTGCAGTGGGGGGTTGAGTCAATTGGGTTGTACCATTGGGAAATGGATTCTTTGAGGAGGGTTAAAATAGTTGTGGCTTTCTAGAGGGACAGTCTAAGAGGGTGCAGTGGGGCGTTGAGTCAAAAGAGAATACAAGAAAACATTTCTGTTTCTAAGAGCAAAAAAAAAATTTACGTTAGATCTGATCAGTACTTTAATACATATGGAAGTGATTTACACACTATAAATATGTTATTTTACTTCTTTTACAGTTATAAGTTTGTTATAGGTGGATATCATGTGCATTAGGAGTTTTAAATGTAGTTACCCTCCTTTTTTGTTGTTGTTTAATTCTCCAACTATGTCTTCCTCTCACCACTACCACTCTGCCTGCCCAGCTCTCAATGTGCATATTACCAAACAAATTCTAATGATTCCTTTGTAGAAAGAGGAATGTTTAAAACATGTATAGAATGCTGCTCTCCTCAGCCATGAGGAGAGAACTCTCAAGCTGCCCTTAGTAGTTATGTCCTTGGGACCTCCTTCTGAGCCACGTCACTGTGCTCATTAGCTCTCAGTAAAGAAGTCCTCTGCTATATCTCCTCTTGTCCGTGACTGTAGTTGACCTTCTCCAGTAGAGAACTTCAAGATTTCTGCTATGGCCATGTTCAATGATGCAGTATTATCAAAGTAACCCATTCAGGTAGCTATCGGTCAATGGTATTAACTGAGTGGCTGCCATAGGGTACTTGACTAATGTTAGAAGAAAGTATAACTCTGGGCCTGGCTCTGTAGTTTAGTGGTTCAGGGAGCAGATCCCACATGGTCAACCATGGTTCAAATACCAGTCCCAGGGGACTTGAAAAGCATACCAGGTGTGTGTGTGCGTGTGTACACCGAAATCCTGACAGGAGGTAGAGGTGAAGGCAAGATTGTGGTGTGACCACACGCCATAGAGAAGTGATTTTTCCCTTTTTGACTCTCTCTCACCAGAACACATGCTCTCTGGCATTTAAAACAATGATAATAATAACATAAAATATAAATTTAAAAGTAAATGGAAGTACTTTTTTAAAAAAGAAGAAGTTATAGCTCTGACTCACCCGAGAGATTTTGTATGTTGATTTAGGCCACCATTGTTTTTATGGTCTCATTACATCTTTCAAATTTCAGTCATTAGTAATAACCTGGGAAAGAGGAATTTCTATTTCCCATTCTCTTTTTGAATAGAAAAATTAGCTTACTGTCTCCTTTCCTCTCTCCTTGTTCTTTTTCTCCTTCCTTCCTCTCTCCCTCCTCTCCTTTCATTCTCCCTTCCTTCTTTTCATCCTTCCATTTCTATTAATTATGTGCTGTGCTAGGTACTGGGGACACAGAGATGAATACGATATGGCCTCATTTGGTAGTAAGAATGGGATGAAATTCAGAAAACAGTGTTGAAAATAATCACATTAGGAATCTTAATTAAAGTTGCCAAATAAGTATGGACTATACTCATATGCCAATGTACTTTAAGAAAAAATATAAATGAGACAGAGCTTCAGTAGCCAGTATGCAGTTTGATGCATACTATAAAAACGTTTTATATAATGTGTCTTGATAGCCAAATTATTAGGAAACGGAATAGTTACAAAATTTATGATTTTCTAAATAATTATGTGTAAGAAAATAAAATACCAAGTCCATATTTCTGGAATTGGGGAAATTCTTCATTCCCTAGAATAATATTTTCCTAAGGCCCAGGTAATAATCCACTTTTTTAGCTCTCTAAAAGATAGATCCAGTTCTATTGAGTTGAGTGTTAGACGTGAGGTTTCCTAAGAATATTTACACTTATCTGGCAGGGTGCCTCATAAGCGGTTTTGATTTAAAATGTGGTTTCAACCACTTCCCAAATTTATACACAACTCATAAAGAGGGAAAACTTGGGTTGTGAAAGTCCATAAATGCTGTTTATAAAGCATGAGCACCCTGTCAGATACTAAGCGGTATGCTACTTAAATACCGTTGATTATTAAGCTTTTATGGAGCACTTTTATACTGCAGAAGTCATCATTTTTATTGGCTTTTCTTGACAACAACCCAGTGGCATTTCATATTTTTCTTTCTTTTCTTACATTCCCAGAACAGGAGCACAGTAAATGGGTGTTCTGCCCACAGACCCAGTCAGTGATGAAACAGGAGTCGAATTGATAGATCCCTAAATCCTCACCTTCATGTTAGCCCTGCAGTTCTTTACCTCTCTTTTAAGGTGCTATGTTTTCATCTTCATTCCTGAATTTTTTTTTTTTTAATTTTAGGAGTTGTGACACTTTCTAATTACTTTTTGTTCAGGTTTTGGCCATCAGG